AACTCATTAACTGGCAATGCGCCCGGATGCGCCCTGAGATTGGCAAGTGGGTAACTGGCAATGCGCCCGCATACGCCCTCAAATGACACCTCAACTTGCGGGCATGATATTTGAGCACGTGTTTATCGGGTTGCCTAGCAATGGATACGAAAATAGAACACGAAATTCAAGCTTTTCAACGGTGTATCATGCAAGAAAATCGGCCAAAAACGATATTGTTGCAAAGAAGGATTTCACAGCAAGTTTTAAACGAGAAAAAAGAAGACGTTTTTGAATGATTTACAACGAAAATTTGGCATGAAAGGAAAGCGAATGTATTGACGTTTCGGGCCAAGTTCTTCTGTGAACCTTGCGCGAGATTTTCAGCCAAAAAGATGAGGATTTCTCCAAACTTTATTAAAAATAGAAGTCGGAAATCACAAGAAAGATGAACACGGAACTGAAGTGAGCAGATACGATTTTTTAAAGGGTATTTTTGAGTAGAAATATGCGATCAAACACTCGCAAAATTCGACCGCATTAATGTTGGTTGAATCTAGTTTAAAGTTATCTTTTTAAACGAACTGTTTATGCAAATTTGGGCGCAACTTTGACTGTTTTCGTGACCCCATTGTTGGTCTTCTTGTTCAAGTTGTTATTTTAGCTAAAGTATATTTCAAACGCCACTTACTGTGTGCGTACGTGATCTTTTTTACCTTTTTGGCAAGAATACTTCGAGTATTAAATTACACTAAATAAGTAGGATATTCCAAAATCACTGTTATATCTATTTTCATCAATTTAGTGTTAAAATGACAACTCTTTCAGACGTATTGTGGTTTAAAATAAGTGTATTGAATAAACACGCTTGCTTGCCGTGTGCGAATATTCAAAAAGTCCGCACTTGAGTTGTAAAGCTTTCAAAATGCATTTTTACTGTTTTTTATATCCCCTATAAAACTTTAAATCGATAAAGCAGATAATAATGTTGATGCAACATCATTTTCTAGTAACTACACGTTGAATCAGAAGGAAAAGTTATCAAAATAGGTCGCGACGGTTGTTCGCAAAATGTCGCTTCTCTCTGAAATGGCTTCCTTTGTGGAAAGCCATGAAATTGAAGTCCTAACAAAAACTAACCTTAGCAGTTCTTTTGGGCCCATTGCTCACTTATTTATCATGAAATCGCTTCACTAGAACATTTTTAATAATGTCTATGGGAAACTTTGTAATTTTCTGAACTAAAAGTTTGTGGTTTTGAGGTATTTATTTTATAAAATAGCACGCGCGACAAAATGGCACTAATGTGGTTTCTCACGACTGACAAACAACCAAAGATGAAAGTTCTTATTTCACCCTTTTATAGCTATGTGGAATACCTGAATATTAGGTTATCTTTTTCATGTGAGGATATAGATAACATTTCTACACAATAGTCCTTAAGAAAGCTTATTTCAAACTCAAAAAAAGCAATTGTTTTTCAGAGCCAGACTTCAAAAGAAACCGCCTGTCTGACATTTTATAGCAGCCTACATTGGCGCTCAAAATATTTTTGGCTTTTAAACCATTGCTTTCCCAATAGAAGCATGAAAATATTGAGCTAAAAGTCTTACCTGACATGTGTTTAAAGTGTTTTTCTCTTTATGATGCTTTTCAGTGCTTTGAGTACAGAAGTGAATAGCTTTTAGTTTTGTCACCGCAGAGTGCCTTTCAAAATGTCGGCTGTCATTGTCTGTGTTAAAAACACCTCAGAAAATTCCCATTTTCTCACCTTCCCATCCTTGGTTTATATTAAAATAAATAAATTTAAGCACTATGTGTGTTTTTAAATATATTTGAAGCAATCAAAAAACTTTAAAGATGTACAAACACTGTGCTTTGGCTTGCACACTTTGTTGAACTTGAACACTTAGTTACTGTTATAAATTTCATGTTGTAAACAAGATGCCCCAAAAAAGCAAAGAAGTAATTTTTAAATTTTTTGATATTTTCCTAATTCATATCCCAAAAGATGAAAATTGGTTGTAATATAGATATGTATTAATTTAGTAAATGATTTTTTTTTGGTTTTTATATAAATTTATGGAGATATTGCCCCTTTAGGTGATGAGTGACATGAAAAACAAAGTGTCACTGCTTTATAAATAAAAATACTGACTGAAAAAACTAATGATATATATAGGTATGCAAGGTCATCTAAACTAAATTTGGTCAATCATATATCATTCATGTTTGGTTGAAAAGATCAGACTTTTTTATGCAATTGTTTCTGAGATATTGCCATTTTGGTGAAAGCTTGGTATTCAATCATGAATTCACCATATTGCTTGCCACTTTAGGGAGTGGTAACATTGTAACAGCTTGCCAGTTAATGAGTTAACAAAAGAAACACTTCATATTCAGCAGATAGTTTTGGCCGAACTAGCGAAAAAAATTCCCAAAAATGATAACATAACGTATGAAAGCTACCTTAATGGCTTAACTATGTTGAAAGTATGTTTATAGAACCTGTGACTGAATACGAGCAGCAAATTGAGATTATTAACTTAAGTGAAACTAAAAGTGCAGGACATGATGACATAAGCGCGAAAATGATAAAGATCATCAGTGAAGAAATAATTAAACCTCTAACATATATTTATAATCTATCATTTGAAACTGGAAAAATACCAAATTTTTTGAAAATAGCTTTAGTTACTCCTATTTTCAAAGCTAAGGAAAATAATCTATTTGAAAACTATTGACCTATATCGGTCTTAACTTGTTTTTCAAAACTACTTGAAAAACTTATGCACAAGCGATTAATTAACTATGTTGAAAAACATCGTATACTTTCAGAACATCAATTTGGTTTTAGAAAAATAGATCAACTGAGCATGCCATTCTTGAACTAACCGATAAAATATCCAAAGCAATAGATGAAGGTAAATATACTGTAGGTATATTCCTTGATCTCTCTAAAGCCTTCGACACTGTCAATCACGAAATTCTCATAAAAAACTTCAACACTATGGAATTAGAGGTATAGGTCTACAATGGTTTATAAATTATTTACAGGAAAGGACTCAAATAGTCAAATATAAACAACATAGGTCAACTGAAATGAGTGTTAGGACTGGCGTCCCACAGGGTTCAATTCTTGGACCACTACTTTTTCTAATATACATTAATGACATTGAAAACTGCAGTAAAATTCTTTCTTTTGTCTTACATGCCGATGATACAAATGCCTTTTATTCAAATTCGTGCCTAAAAACTTTAGCTAGTACTATACAAAATGAAATGAATGAAGTAGTGCAATGGCTTAATGCCAATAAATTATCAATCAATGCATCGAAAACAAAATTTGTCATTTTTAAATAAAAAAAAAGTCACAGCATCAAGAAATCATAGTAAAAATAAATAATGATATAGTTGAACAAGTACCTTGGGTAAAATTCCTAGGTGTATTAATTGATCAAGAGTTGACATGGAAGAACCACATCAACTCCGTTCTGAAAAACATAATTAAATCTGCGGGTCTTATTGCTAAACTAAGACATTTTACGAACAAAAACACTTCGAAATTGATTTACTATGCATTGGTCTATCCATACCTCACGTACGGAAATCTAGTTTGGCGAAGTACATACCCAACAAGGTTACAAAAGTTACTAAATGTGCAAAAGAAAATTGTACGAGTAATCTGTTTTAAATCTTATATGGATCATTCTGAACCAATATTTTTACAATTGAAAATCTTGGATATCTACAAAATTAATGATTATCTATGCAGCTTATTCATGTATCGCTTCAATTATTGTCAAAATTTCCCGGACTTTTATAATGATTACTTCAAACAAAATAACGAACTATACAACTATAATACTCGAAATTCTACCAAGTTACATGTGAGCTATAAGAGAACAAACTATCGCAAATACACTGTATTTAACAAAGGAGTTTCTATATGGAATTACCTTGATGAGAAAATTAAAAATATTAAATCTTATTTTTCTTTTAAGAAAACTGCAAAATCTTATTACTTGATGTCTAGTTGATGTAAATATTTCAGGAATATTAATGACAGTATTCTGTAATGTACTGAATATTCCTTAAACATTTTCCATATTTGTTTGTAAATACTTTGTGTTTTTCATTGCAAATTGTCTTTATGTACATAATCTAGTTTTATATTACTGAACACTAAAACTATAGGGGCCTCGTCTTAAAAGTCCAACAGGATTTCCAGAGGTCTCTAGCCCGTTTATATATTCTTAAATATTCAACTTGTAAACATTATTTGTGGGTAAATAAACTAATCATATAATCATATATATAACCAATGCTCACAAAGAAGTCATTAAAGGCCTCCGCTATCATTAAATTATCAGAAATAATAGTGTCGCCTATTTTTAATTGGGGAATGTTGTTTTATTTAAAATTCCTACCCAAGAGGTGATTAATATGGTGCCAACTTTGTTTAGGATCTTTAGTCTGAGAACAATCCTCAAATTTGTCACAAAAATACCTCTTTTTGGCTTTGTACATTTCAGAGTTAACTTTATTGCAAGTGTCTTTATACTTCGCCCAGTGTAATTGAGAAGTAATATATGAACAACAAGAGCGAGTGTTTCACCGGGATATCCAAACACAAGAAAACAATGCATGAAAACACGAGCGCGAGTGTTTTCATACATTGTTTTTGAGTGTTTGGTTATCCCGGTGAGACACAAGCTGAAGTTGTTTATATGGCTTCTCAAATGAATCAAGACTTAACAGAATGTTTTCGTTTGCTGATTTGAATAGAATTCTTAACCAAGCATAACGTAAATAGGAATTCTATTCAAGCAATTTTGCATGCATAATTTAGATATTTGATGAAAACACTAGTGACTTTCATCAGGTATCCAAATGGCATCTTGTGATCAAATAGGTGATTATAATTGGCTGAATTGCTCATTAATTATTAATGAATTTGAGAATTAAATTTAACCGCTTTCTTTTTGTGAAAATCTCTTGCTTTCATCAGATTTTTGATTTTGGAGTAATCCAAGGAAGTGAGTTGCCTTGGATTCTCATGCATCTAAATGGTGCATGTCGATCAGATCATTAAGAAAGTCCGTAGCATTGAAATTTTTAAAGTTCCATACATATCTAACATTTTGTCGAGATTTTGGAGTAAAAAATTTTCTGACAGCAAAAATCAAACTGTGATCGGATATACCAAGATGATTAACTCCGGATTTTACAATATTTTCTTTCTTATTAGTAAAAATCAAATCGATCAAGGTTGCTGACGTTCTCATTACCCTTGTGGGTTCGTTAATTAACTGCTCAAGCTGGTAGATGCAAGAAAGAAATTGCAGTCTACGTGTGTGAGCATCAGGAGGAAACTTACTAACATCACAATTTAGATCACCCATAAGTAATAATTCTTTGTTTTCCAAGTCACATCTACTAAGAAAATTTTCAAAATCGTCAAACAGGCGAGTATCTCAGCCAGGGGGTCTATACCATGTAGTTACTAAGAATGGCCGACTGCATGGTCTGCTAATTTCTACACATAACATTTCCAACGAGCATGCCGTTTGTAAGTCATTCCGTTCGCTAAAGCAATAGTCTCCCGAATATACAGCAGTACTCCGCTTCCGTGTCTGTTGCGATCTTTTCGAATCAGATGAAAACCACTAATGCTTATTTCATCATCCGAAAACGACTCAATTTTAGATTCATTGATAGCTAAGATATCTAGAGGATTATTTAGCATAATTACTCAGAGTTCGTCAATGTGCTTTGAGAGGCTATTAATATTTAAGCATGCAATTTTTAACCCTTTCAAATTGTTTAAGTCAATAAGGGAGAATTGATTATTAATATTATTGATATGATCACTAATTATCTTGATTGGGTCACACCAAGGTTCAGTCAGGACCTCCTTGAACGGTTGTTGGGTCTTAGGGGACTCAACATCATACTCAGAATGTCCTCCAGAAAGCTCAGCCTTGCTGTTTTGTTGAGAAAATCCTGGTTGCGTCTTTGTTTTGGGCTAGTAGTGGGAACAAAGGGAGTGTTTCCTCGTAAAAATTTAATAAAATTGGCAACCAAGTATGCAGAACCTTTAGCATTTAAATGTAACAGACTACCGTTCAAGCATGAACTGTCCAGATTCCAGTTATCTATAAATTTAAACGCGTTCTTCGTGCAGAATACTTGAAGCCCATCGTTGACTTTCGTGACCTGCTCTCCCAAATTTAGATCACGCCTTAACATGATACTAGAAATACCAATTGTCGAATTTGGAAACTTCTTATTAATATTCATCACCAGGCTTTCTATTTTCTTGATACAAACACTTGGATTATCTACTGGCAGGTTATTCGTGCCAGCATGCAAAATAATATGTGAAGGAGAATCAGACTTGATATTTTTGACTTCCGAGATTATCTCCTCAGCTGTCTTTCCAGGGAATGAATGTTTATTAACTTTCCTTCTAGATAATTTCCTGGGATGTATATTTTTTATTATTGAGTCTCCGATCAACAAGATAGATCCATCATCTTTGATGTCACTCTTTGTCTTACTAGACTCTGGTGTAATCAACGATTCATTGCCTAATGATTTAGACAATTCTCTGCTGGGGTCATTAATTGGACCGGTTAACATCCCAGATCCATCACCATTGTCGTCGCTGGCTGACTTGCTGGATTCTAGTGTAAACGATTCATTGATTGCCTAATACTTGAGTCGATTCTCCGGCTTCACTGGGGTCATTAAACGCTTCGTTAACTTCACTTTCGGGAGCCTGTAGAATTTCTATGAGGGGAACTTGTGAACAGACCGGTTTATTATATTGCTGATTAATGTCTATTTCCTTTCGAACTGTTTCGGTAAGATGATCTACAGATGTGTGATAGAGATTGGATTGCAACTCTGTTGAGCTCTTGGCCAGATCGAAGATCATCAATATGGGAATAGACATCATGGACTTTACAATTAGTTGACTGCAAAATAACCGGTTCCATTTGGGTGCTCCCATCTGCACTTGTAGCTTGTGGACATATGTCGTCGTAGATCTTTCAAAAAGGGGCTTTGTGTATTTGCCCACCTCACCCCCTTCAATAAGCAGCAAATTCTTGTTCTTACACCAGGAGATAGAGATATCAGCAGTAGAGAATATCTTTTTGTCACCTCCAGGTTGCTCCCAGACACCATCAAGCTTTAGTTCATCGCTAAAAATGTCTTTAAAGAATCATAATCGCCTTGCCATGCAAAGCATAAGTTATAGCTTAAAGATTCCATTTATCATTGATCTAACTGTGACTAGAGTACAGTAAGATATTGTGTGTTATTTGATGAAATAGCGGAGCTTCTAAATACACGTCTGTCTCCTAAGCCGTACTCTCCAAGTGAGAAAAATCAATGGGAAATCAATGTCAACATTAAAACAATTGTCATCATCCATGTTCTCGTCAGAACTATCCTCTTTTCAATTCCTTTACATCGATAATTTATGCTTGGATGCCGGTCGACTTAGGTCACTCATCAACGTTTTTAACGGTGATACCACAATTATGATGGAGTTAACCCCTGCCATAAAAATATCTTTCGAACTTCTCCAAGCTCGTCTCCAAATTTGAAACACATCGTTGCACAAATTGTATTTTGCAAACAACATTGGCAGAAGATGAAATAGCCCATTGGCAAAACACACACCACATCATTTTTTAAATAGACACTTTCTAAGCAAAGAACTTGCTTCGGTTTTAGAATCTTATCTTCGTACAAACTATTTAAAACCGCAAACTCTAGACATGTCAAAAAAGCAATGTAGTCCAACATGGCTAAAGCGAGGAAAATGGCATACCATGTGGAAGCATGTAATTTGATACTTTGGCTACTCCCCCTTAGGTGGTCAAATTTCTGCATGCCACGTGACCAGCCCCAGCCAGGGTCTTTGCTCCACAAGAGGAAAGAGCCTGGGAATGAGGTTGTTGAGAAACAAGTTGCCAACATGAGACAATTAAATCTACTTTCCAGTTTTCACAATCATATTTGCATGTTTTCTCCTCATGTATAAAGTGTGTTTCTTTTGTCCAAGCTGTGGCTAGGTTTCATTTTACAATATTTCTGTGCAGTTTTAAAGTGTTGTTTCTCATAGACCTTTTCGGTAGTTATGTCACAACTATTTACATTGTTTTCAACATAAGACCACCTTAAATGAAATGGATTTTCTCACTGGCTATGCGCAAAGAAGCAGAACACCCTTCTTCAACACATGCATGAAAAAGAATAAGCTTTAACACGAAAACAAGGCTGAAGGAACAAAGGCCCTTTTTCGCCCCTCAGCCTCATTCTTGTGTTAAAGCTTATTCCCACATTTATTGGTCAAAATAAAAAATATTTATCACGCATGTGTTGAAAAAGGATGTTCTGCTTCTTTGTGCTTCTCTAATGAGAGAAAAACTCCATTCCATTTAAGCATGATTTAAGGTAGTCCTAGTCCATGATGTAAGGTAGTCCTAAGAAAACAATATTTAACAATTATTTTGCTGAAGGCGAGGTGATATCGGGGATTAGTATTTTTGCACAAGTGAACATAACAAATCCTACACATATTAAGCTGTTATATTCAATTACAGGTGAATATAACAAAACTGAAATTTTCAAAATGGCGGCTAGCCATTTTGTGGAAGTTCACTGATAAAGAAATGAGTGAAATTAAAATAAATTCAGTACCAAATAACACAAAAGACTTGTATAAAAATACTACAGTAAAACCCGATAATCACCTCGCCTTTGGCAAATAATTGTTAAATATTTGCTGAGGTGAATATTCGCCAATAATCACTGAGACCGAGGCAAATAATTGTTTTAGTATTTTGACAGAAGTCTTTTGTGTTATTTGGTACTGAATTTATTTTAATTTCGCTTATTTCTTTATCAGTAAACTTCCACAAAACGGCTAGCCGCCATTCATTTTTGAAAATTTCAGTTTTGTTATATTCACTTGTAGGTGAATATAACAGCTTAAGAGCGGCTCCCTGTAAATATCAAATATCGAGTTTCATACGGCGAAAATCGAATTGACTCAAAATTTCACAGAATAACGATGAAGATGAAATATTAGTTCTGTCAAAGTTTCAGCTCAATCGAATGAATATTCCGGCTGATTGACGAAAATTTCTTGGTCTTCCACGTTCTCTGTGTCGTGCCGGCCATTTTTGTTAGAGTACTATAGAGGGCCCAAATTTTTTGAACACTTCGTGTTGTAAAATTTGGAAAACGTGAGCAGGAAATAGGATTAATTTCCCCTCAGGAAATTATATTTTGGTGGAATTAAATGTAATCCTTTAAGTTTCACAGACATGTAAATTTAGGTTAATTTGCAATCAACAGAAAATTAATGAAGTTTGAATGTAAATATCATCCACTGGTACATGGCATTGTTTCTTAAGACTTTTACCTGGCGAAAGTGCAACCTTTGTTCTTACTCCTTATGCAGTAAAATCCTTGGGAAAATTAAACTGCGCAACATTTTCGCATAAGACACAAGGCACCCTGACAGTTATTGAATGCAACGTGCTGCCGACATCACGAACTATAACACCATGGTAAAAAGGTAAAAATTACAAGTTAGCAGCACAAACAATTATTAGATATACATTTTAGCAAATGTGTTAGAAATTTAGCGACTATTACTTATAATAAATGCGCAAGTTTATGCGTAATTTTTTAGAACAAGTGATTTTTAAATCTGTTTAAAAATAGCCAATAATCATAGACCGGAATTATGAACTGCGAGACTTACTGTAATTTTACTTGCCTGTTTACTTGTACGGTAGTTTTACTGCCACTCTCTTCACTTTGAGTTTAACTTTTACAAGAAGGGTAGAAGACAAAATGTTTCCGATAATCGCCTTGTCACGTTGAAAGTTTACCGTGAGAATTGAGGGCCAAATACGGTGGTGTTTTTCCAGATGTAAACAAAAAAATTAGTGAACGGAAGTGGTCAAGGTTAATAATAAGGTCAAGCAATTAATACATAAACAGATCTATAAATATGCGGACAATAAAAGAATAGTATGATATTACTTGTTTATGATGCTCGTTGCTTGGCATCTGTGCAAAACACTAAAAGATGCATGACAAGAATTTTATAACTTTGACATAATTATTAATTTCATAGTAGAATTTGCGCATTTGTTTTTTCTAGCAATATGCTCGCAATGCAGAAAAAAATTAAACTTGGAGCTTTCTGAAGTAATACCCGAACCAGTTACCTTACCCGAAGATGGAAGCAAGGTGGAACCGTCAACTATGCAGCAACAGCAGTCTACCGGCCAACACACAAACAGTGATTCTGTAAGTGATTTGCTTATGTACCAGCAGAGAATAAATTACAGTCAGGGCCATCGCTATAGGGGGGTGTAGGGTGTGACACCCCTTCTGAAAACGTCTTGTCAGCAAAATAACGAATTTATCCGCAAATTGTTTTCGTAGTGAGCGAAAATATTTGAGTGGCTCGGATTAAAAAAGTAATAATTATAGCGAACATTATGCTCAATTTACGAAAATTACCGTGAAATGTAACAAATTATATGTCCGGAAAAATTTTCGTATGTCTGGAAAAAATTTTGTGACTCCCCCCCTCCCCTTCGCGACTGCAATGTTGTCGGCAAATGTGATACTACCCCCCCCTCTTTATCCTCTTCACTACGGCCCTGATTACAGTAAAGTACAGAATTCTTTTATAACCATTCAAGTATTGGAATTTTAAAATTATAGGATAGATAGATAGATAGAAAAACTTTATTTAAACATGCTGACCCCGTCAACCGAAGCTGATTTCCACGGGGGGCATGTGCAAACTATACAGATACACTAAAAAGCTATTTACAAAATTATATAAGATATATAGTATTAAATAAGTTAAAGTAATTTAGATATATTTACAAATCATTAATCAATCAGTCAATGTGAGTAACGATTTTTTTCCGAAAGGCAGAAAGGGATTTGCTCTCTCTAATTTCTTTTGGAATTGAATTCCATAGGTGTGCTCCGTCATACATGAAACTTTTTTTCATATTATTAGTACGCGGTTGTGGTAGACAAAGACCACTTGAAATATCTCGGAGGTGATACTTTGTTTTCTCACCTTTATATGTGAAAAGATTAGAGAGTGACTTGGGACCCATTTTATTTAATAATTTGTACATTATTTTTGCTTTCACTTTCTTTCTTTCTGTTTTAAGTGTCTTCCAACCCAATGCTTGCAGAGCAACAGAATGATCTGTGTCATTGCTCATATTCATAATGATTCGAGCAGCTCTATTTTGGAGTTTTTGGAGTCTTTTTGATTGTGTCTCACCAAACACATCCCATACTTCACAGCAGTAATCGAAGTATGGGCGTACAATAGCATTATACACAGAAAGAAGGGCTTGCTTATCAGCAAATTCTTTCAGTCGTCTAAGAGCAGATATACCGGATGTTATTTTCTTGCAAATATTCTCAGTGTTACTTTTCCAAGATAAATGCTGGTCAATTGTCACCCCAAGGGTTATGGATTCATGAACTTGCTTAACTGATTCGTTTTCAATTTTAACGTTTAGTTGTAGATCTGAAATACTTCTAATCATGTGTTTAGAGCCAATTAACATAAACTCTGTCTTAGCTACATTTAGGCTAAGTTTATTGGCAATTAGCCATTTTCTAAGATTTTCTAAATCAGAATTCACTGCAGCCTCAAGATCAGTAATAGAGTCTCCAGAAGCTGTCAGGTTCGTATCGTCAGCAAACAGCCGAGGTTTTGTTTTATATAGACATTGAGGCAAATCATTAATATATAGTAGGAAAAATAGTGGCCCTAAAATAGAGCCTTGTGGTACTCCACATTTGATCAGTTTCTCTGATGAGAGAGAGTTTTGAATTTGGCATTTCTGCTTTCTATTGGAGATATACGATTGGACAAAAGATAGGGCTTGCCCTTTTACTCCATATAACTCTAGCTTTTTCAATAAAATTTGATGGTCAACAGTATCAAATGCTTTCTTTAGGTCAATTAAGATTACCAGATTAAATTTTTTCCTGTCTAGATTCATATACCACTCGTTTGTACAGTCCAGTAATGCTGTAGTTGTAGAGTGAAATTTTCGAAAACCAAATTGACAATCACTTAGATGCCCAAATTTAGTGAAATAATCATATAGTTGATCATATAGAATTCGTTCCATAATTTTACTAATGGTTGGCAAAACTGAAATTGGCCTGTAATTTCCTGGCATGTTTCGTTGGCCATTCTTATAAAGAGGTATTACTCTAGCTGTTTTCCATTCATCAGGGAAAATGGATAGAGTAATAGCTTGATTGAATATGTATGTTAGGGAATCTGAAATGACAGGTGCAGCTATTTTAATAATTTTGCATGAAATCTTATCAACTCCAGTAGCTTTATTGCTAGAAAGACAATGTAAGAGTTGGTAGACATTCTGGACAGTGACTGGCTGGAACGCAGCGAATTCTGATTTAGCATTCTCAACATATGTTTCATAGTTGAAATTTGTAGAATCAATTTTGCTAGCAAGATCAGGGCCAATATTTGAAAAGTAATCCTTAAACCCCTCAGCAATATCTTGGGTATTAGTCAAGATATTTTCACCTACTTTTAACTCGTTTACAACTGTTGGTTTGCTTTGCCTACCTAATATATTGTTTATAGTTTTCCACGCCTCTTTGGGGTTGTGTTTTTGACCAGCAATCTTAGTGGAGTAGTAATCTTTTTTGGCATTTTTTAGCTGAATATTAACTTTGTTTCTTGCTGTTTTATAATTTAACCAGTATATCTCTAGGTTTGTGATAATGGCTTTTCTTTTTAATCTGTCCCTTGTGTTCATAAGATTCTTTATGACACTTGTTATCCAAGGAACTTTTTTTGTTCTAATCTTTTTCTGTTGAATTGGTGCATGTTTATCTAAGACATTTAAGAACAATTTCTTCCAAATTTTCCACATATCATTTGGATCTTCTGCAAAAAAATAAACATTCTCCCAGGGCTGTCGGCTTAAATCTTCAACAAATTTTTGATTGTCAAATTTTTTCATATTTCTAATCTCAACTTTGTTTTCTTGTTTTTTGAAAAAGTAAATTTTCCTTAGGGCAAATACTAAACTATGGTCACTTAATCCAGTATGGATGACACACACATCTGGTGTATTTGTAACTATGTGATCAATTAGACTAGAGGTTGTCATAGTTACCCGGGTAGCTTCATCAATTAATTGTGATAGTTGATATAACTCGTATAATGACTTTAATTTTTTTGTTGGAGGATTTGAATCCTTATCTGGTTTTAGCATATCACAGTTTAGATCACCCAGAAAATACATTTCCTTGTTTTCATCATCAATAGCTTTGATTAATTTTTCAAGATGATCAAAGAATTCAGATGATGAACTGGGTGGTCTATAAACTGTTATAACTAGAAATGGTCTACTATGTGGCTTTATAATTTCCACACAAACAGCCTCTAGTTCAGATGGAACAAGATCATGTCTTACTTTATAGTTGATGGAGCTACGCAAGTATATACAAACTCCACCCCCATTTCTTGATCTGTCTTTTCTCACAACATCATAATCATTAATTCGAATCAAGCCATCATTAACACTTGAATTGAGGCGTGTCTCATTGAAAGCAATAAGGTCAACGTGTTTGTTTGACATTGAATACCTTATTTCATCAATTTTTGGGAGCAGACTAACAATGTTAAGAAAAGCCATTTTAAAACCTCTTTCATTTGGAATGGAGTTAAGGCTAGTGAAAAAATCGCTACTCACATTGTTTGAGGAACTATTATTACTTAATGATTCATTATTTGATTGACATGTTGGAGATACATCATCCATTCTCTGTTCCAATGTCTGTGAGTTTGGTAAAAAAACTGCCTATTATTACCTACTGTTTTTGGTATATTACCAGCAGTTTTAACTCTAATTGATTTTAAATATGCACAGAAAGCACTTCCAAGCACCCTATCACCTGACTGGTTCAAGTGCAAATTTGAGCGATTTAGGAATGACCTGTCTATATGGTCATTATTTAAAAATGCTATATTATGTTTCACACATAATTCGCTGACTAAATTATTAAAGTGGGTAATCTTGCTAGCTGGCACTCGGTTATCATACCTTTTTATGACACTGGATATGGCAATCTTTTTGGAATGATCTTTAAGGTTGGCAACAAGCCCATCCATCTTGGCAGCAACTGCTTCTGGATCTTCAGAGCCAAGGTTATTGGTGCCCACATGAAGAATAACAGCCTCGTGTTGCTCATCTTCTGACCAATATTCCTTAAACTTCGCGTCAATATGCTCCACTCTTGCACCACTGTAAGAGTGAACGACTGAGTCACAACCTGCAGCCCGTTCAATCTTCTTCTGATCAATGTGTTTCACCATTGAGTCGCCAATCACCAAAACTTTCTTCCTATATTCTTTCTGTTTTCCTGCAACAGACTTCTGAGAAAGGACTTGGTTCTTCTTTTTATTAATATGACCATGTGCTTGGCTCTTCTGATTCGTTTTCAGATTTTGGAATTTTGAGTTATTCGTTGATCGGTAGTCCAAGATTTGGCTGTTGATGTTATCCTTCGATTTCTCGGTTGAAGCTAATTCAGACGATGATATATTTTCATCATTTTCATCAACTAGGACTTCAAAACTGTTTAATGTTTTGGTGCTGGGCAATTTCTTTTCATTTTCCTTTGGAGTACTAGGTTTTCCCGACACTTTTACCCATTCATTCTGTTTGATGTCAAGAATTATTTTTATATTCCCATTGTCAGTGGTAAGTTCTGACACTGTGTGATTTAGGTATGCAATTTCAGCCGCCATTGTGTTGTTGACATCTTGCAATGTTTTTATTTTTGCTCCCGAGGCTAACTCTCGTGCGATGGCATTTCGATTATCTTCATCATGTTTTGATTTCATATGATTTATTATTGTCATTATTTTGGCTATTTCTTCTTCGTAGCTCTTGTATACATCGCTGTTTAAACGCTTCGTGTTTACTTCGGCTTCAGCTTTTCCTTCGGTTTCGTCGATAACATTGACCATGTGCTCGTTCAATTTTCGCTGACTTGTTTCGCTGTCATCCTCGCTTTTATGGTCAGACATCTCTGTTGGGCAAACGTGTTCTTTATCGTTATCTGTGCTGGACAATTCCGCCACAAAGTTTTCAACATCAGCTTCTGAAAGCGTAGACATACTGTTCTTTGTGCGGCGAGACATATTACAACGCACAAAATTTCGCGCAGAATATCACGAAAAATACGTTCCAAAACAACTCCAAAATTAAACAAGTGAAATCACCAAATGGTTAGAAACAATTTGATATGTAGTTTATCCAAAAACTATAATTTAAAAGCGAGAAATTTTCGAATAACCAGAGAGCCTAAGAGAGTGTTACCGCACGATGTAACACGATACCCGATGATATTGCTTTGAAAACATTAAAATTGCCATAACATATCACTGAATGTACCTTTTACGGAGAAATTAACAACACTATACAACATCAGTAAGAGCTTTAGAATTAACACTTTATGTTTCCATGGAAACGTGTCACGTGATATTTTTCCCCATTTTAAAGGGAAAATTCCTTACCATATTTTCAGTGACGCTGCGGACAAGGAAAATAGTAATAAACGATTCAGCATTTTCCCGTCTGAAAGACTTTAGTGTATGATACTTGCGTTCCTAACTTGCTATCCTAAATCAGATACGTTTTTGATCTATATAAATTAATAATACGTTTAGGAGTTCATATATTGCATAATATCTTGAAGGAATTTCTTGCCGTTTAAGCACAGATTTACTAAGTTTCGGTACAAAAATATATGTAAATTTGAATGTCCGTATATGTTTAATGTTAACAAAAAGTTAATCATCCCTGTCCGCAAGCAGAATGAAAGTTTCCGTACAATTTGTCGAAAAGACGCCATCTTGACTTTGAGCCTGCAATACGCAATACAGTGGTAAATGCAAAAAGCAAAACAAATTCGACGGCGCGAAATTTGAATATTTCGCGCAATTACACAATAAAGTACACGTTGTATAGCTTCTAACACGCAAACAAGAGAGTTTTTTACAGTGATTTAATCAATGTTATATTCTTTATTTAAATATGAGTGGTTCATAATGGTCGTAAGTCTAATTCATCCCAATACTTGTGGATTTGCCAAAGTAATTGCTTGGCAGCTGGAAAAATCAACAGCGTCAACAGCAATACGGTCGGACGGAGAATCATTACCAAAATTTCGCTCGCGAATATCAAAGTTACACTACGAAAATTTTATTGAAGCTTTCAGCGAGTGCAAAGAGAACTACTCAATTAGCTTTGCGACTTTTCAGAAGAGGTTTCAAGATCTCCATACAAAATTTGTCAAATGGAATTCCCGTAAAATCAACGAGCGCGTGAAATATCTTGCTACTTTTGAGACAGAAAAGTGGAAAAAACTTCCATCCTCAAAGAAAGCTGAACATAGTTTACAGGAGTGCCGTGGATGTTCTCACAGCTACAGCTATGAGCAGTCTCTGTTTCCTGTCAAGTCCAAGCAATTTAACAATTGTCAAGACAAGAATAACTTTGTAACAGCAACACAGACCGCTAATGACGTGGGTGAATCGAAAGCAAAGGTGAAATGCAAAAAACGCGAGGTGACCAAGGCAGCTAGGGAACTGTATGCACAAATTAACCTGCAATTTCAGAAAATATGTCAGGTTCCTTTGGCTCAAGCTTTAGTTTCTGTTCCAGAATTGCAACTCCAGCAGAAGAAATCTAAAACTGAAATGAAGAAAGAAAAAAGGGACTGTTACAGGAAAGTAAAAGCACGGATCGAAGAGGAATGGAAGGAAACAGATATGTTAAGGTTAGTAACGCTGTACATGCATGAAATAATAGTCATTCACCTAAAAAGTTAAATCATGTCAAATTTGTTACACTTAGGTGTTTTGGTAACAGACAGTCTTTGAAGTCGCGTCAGAAAGATCGTCTAGCGCAGGCGTTTGAGCCAAGACTGAGTCCAGAACATTCGCAGGTACCTGAAATAAAAAGAAGTCCTGTTGGGATATTTGACAAGATGGCTTGGGACAAAGATGCTCTTAAATCAGAAGTTGAGTCATATGAAAATGGCAAGTTTGTCAACTGGTCTCAACTGGCTAAGGACTATAACGTCACCAACACGAAAGGCAAAATTGCAGCAAATGGCGGCCAGATTGTGAAAGAGTGGTTGAAATCGGTTGATTCAAACGATACAACACCAATTCAGATGATCCACGCATTCGACGAAAGAAGAGGAGAGGCCTAGGAGGGGAGATATCCATACCAACGCCGGTAACAAATGCATCTCTGAAAAAACAACTGCACGAAAAAATTATGCAGAATGAGTATTCAATAGGAAAACTAATTGTTGCTAGAAAGGTACCTAATATTTTTATATGTTCTATCCACTAGCATCAAACTGGTAGACAAGTATTGGTGATTTTCACATATTAATTCCATGTCGGTGTAAATATCCCTTTAAAACAAAGAAAATCCATTGAAATTTATTCTGAGGATAATTTATTTGGTACTTTACCGTTTTTTACCAACATGGGTGCTTTAATATGACGTGAAAAATATCAGTATATAGTTCAATCTGCCCTGGAATTGTACACTTATCAAATCATGTACCTTAAGGTTATCTTGCTCTATACTAATGCCTCATAATTTACTCATTAGTAATGGTGAAGTGTTAGACGTGTTAGATTCTTTGACATTAACAGTGTCATTCACTTGCTGTGCCTGATACCATTATTTTACTATCACTGTCTTTCACCCGACGAAAAAACATGGGCTTTCAAGACCAGGAAACTCGATCTACACTAGTAATAACTACAGTTTATGGGAATGCATTCAGTCTATTAGGCACAAAGTTTAAAGTTTTGGGGAACATAAAGTTGTCATATGCGGCAACCTTTAATTCCCCTTCCCCCAATATTTCACAAAGTGTTTGCCGCAGAGTATATATTAAGTTTGTCTATCATGCCAGATGATTTGTACAGAAGTCTCTTTTTTATTTTTTAGTATGAAAAGTTGACACTTAATGACGATGGTACGATTGTTCAAAGTGAGTTTGTGGTAGAAGGTCGAAAGCAACCTTTGACTGTAATAAGAGAGATTTTTTTGAAGTCCCATGCCAATTATATGAGAACCGTTACAGATGAAGAGCTATGCATGATGTCAGAAGAACAAGTTAAAGAAAGATTAGTTCAAGTTAATGCTGTGTTCTCAGATTTGGATGATGTAGATACATTAAAAGCAAAGCTGAAAGATATTTCACACACTCGTCATCTAAAAATATGGCATGATCTGTCAACTGTCGCCAATCACAGTCACCTAACCCCCATGGTTTATTTTACACAAATAAGGAGTTTGAAATGAAGACCAAGAGAAAAGTTGACATTCAAACAATCGTAGAATCGCCTGAAGTTTACATTGTCGCCAGATCGAGCAGTTCAGATGTAGAGCAGCTGTCGTATATAGAAACAAGATTTGAATGCTTGGAAGAAATTAGCTTGCCATTACCAAATGAAAATGGAGAGGAAATAATTGATATTATGCGTTTCTTTCATGGTGACAACCCAGCCCAGCAATACGAGTGTGGCCAACAAAAGGGGGGCCACTATTACTGTTCCGTCTGTGGAGTACACGCAAACCGTGTGTATGAACTGGATTACAGCTATTGTTGCACGCACATGTCGTTGAGTGACAGACAAAAGTTGATTTTGGAAGGTGCCATTTCTCGGCAAAAAACATTGGCAGGAAATAGCAAACCAGTTCACCAATTGAAGAAGCCTGAGTTACTACAGGAGTTAAATAGTAGGAAGATCTATGAGGGGGAAACACAAGAAGATTTGAAAAGGTTGTTGACTGATGAACTTCATGGGGTTCAGAGAGTCCCAGCTCTTCTCTACACTAATCCATTGGCTAGTTTAGCTTCAATTAACTGCGACAAGTATGAAATATTACCATTTGAACCGCTACATGATGTGGGAAAGCATATTGAAAATATTCTTGTTGAGTTGCCCATGCATGTTTCACCTGAAGAAGCAACAATGATCACTGAAACAATTGAACTCTGCCTTGGAAAGAAAGAAACAAAACGATGCTTTGACTACCGATGTACTCTGATTACGGTTACAAATCGTGTAATTGGCAAGGTTTCCCTGGAAGTACAGAGGCTGTTACAAACCTTGGTGGAAATACAGGCCATCGCATATGGAAGAGATGAGAACTGTTCACCTCAGAGTGTTCTAAGATTCCACAATCTGACATGGCTACATGCATTTCTATGTTGGCAAGTTATTGGCTACCAGACAAAGAAGATGACTTGTCGAAAATTTTGTGGCGTCTATTTTCACAAATTATCGGCCCATGCTGCTATCCAAAATCGCCTCATTAGTGGAAAATCTTGTCATGCAGAAGAACAAGAAAGAGTTTTCAATGCAGTTACCAACATCACTCGGTCCACCTCATCCTACAAACCGGATCATATTATTGGGAATGTCTTGCTTCGAATCCAAGCTGAGAAGAAATTGGGGGAGTACCATTCTGAGAATACAATTGATCAGCAGCAAAATCACATTTCCAAACTGGCTAAATCACTTCCCTCTCTTGGCAACACTGTTGTTCCTTTCAGCATTATAACACGTCATTCTAAATCTTGGCAAACTCATTTGGAGAGGATAAGTGACTTTCTTATGTTTGGCAGAGGTGTTTGGTGGACCAGCAATGAAGAAGGTGATGTGGAATTTTTTGACAGCATGCAATCCGGAGTAGATTCAAGATCTGAAGGTCCAAAGCTTCATCATTTTCGATCAAGTAACTTCAAAGAAGAAGAAGACCACCTACATAAGTGCTGGTCTGTGTGCATCGAAAAGAAAATTCTGTTACCTCTTCATGTGCTGCGGTTGAAAGATGCCACTACAGATACCTTTATCCCTACCCAGACCCAGTTCCTGAAAAATCAAGAATTGTCAGATGATGCTTCCAATGATGCCAATATGGAAGATGAAGCAAATAGTGAACACATAGGAGAGATCGCAATTAGTACACCCGAAGAACACAGTCAAAACTGTTTTGAAAGTGTTGGTAAAAATGACCATTCTCATGAGGATATTGTTCAATATAACCTGATAATGCCCATGCCTGAAGATGATTTGAGAGAATCAATGTTAGAAGACCCTCCAGTGGACACTGCACATATGACAGCTGGTAAGTTTTAGATAATTAATGTTAACAAAATATATTAGGACATTATAGTTTTGACTGTTATGTACAGTAGGGGGTGCACCGGAAACCAATTTTTTAAGTTCCGGCCGGAACCAGATCTGGATCTGCAATATATAGTCATATGTTACTTTGTCTGCTGCCAGAAAAGCAGACACTTCAAGTCATCAAGGAGAAAGCTCGCAAATGGTAGAATAAAAAGATTGACAAATGTTAAACGTCATAATGAAGTGTTAATTGTGTATATTTTCCTTGTGTAACAGTCAAAATTTCTCCCTACTGTGAACTTTTGTCAGACACAAAAACGTTTGATATTCTGAAAATAACAGAGTTCCGGTTTCGATCATGCTTTTTTATTAGTTCCGGCCAGAACCAGAGCTCTGAAAAATAGGGGTTCCGGTGCCCCTCTACTGTTATGTTCTACCATAATATTATGATAACAATCATATTAAAGCTGTTCTTTCATATTTAGCGCAAGAGGATGTTCAAGCTGTAAATGGCACAAGTGAAGCTCAAATCAGCAAAGACCCTTTAAGTGCTAATAAAGAACAATGGCACACTAAATTGGGCTCAACCCTGGCATATGTTCTTGGAAATACAAATGAAGTCATTGAACTTGATCATGTCAGAAAAAAGGCCAAGGACCAACGACAGGATAAGTTTTTGCTGGATAGCTACATGTATAAACTTGCGGTGATTCAAACAAAAGTGTCAAAGAAGAAAAGAGAGTTGGA